AAAGTTTAAGTGGGTGGTGAAGGTGAGCTTGGAGTCCAAATAAACACCCAAGTCTTTAAAGTCAGTAATTGATTTTAGCGGGACATTCGAAAAACAGTAAGAGGTTGGAACAATACTAATCACTTTTGCAAAAGAGGTATAATGACATTTACCAATATTGAGGGACAAACGATTACGCGCACACCAACAGTACAAATTATCAAGCTCACCCTGGAGAATCAATGAGTTTACTATATTTTTAATTTCATAGTATATCTTCAGGTCATCCGCATATAGAAGAAACTTACACTTTGAGAAACAGGAAGATATATCATTAATAAAGATAACAAATAATAACGGACCTAAGACACTACCCTGGGGAACACCAGAGCAGGAGACAAAAGAATAAGACGATACATTATCAAAACGAACAACACAGCGTCTGTTATACAGATAGGATGTGATCCACTTCAGAAACTGAATGAAAGCCCAGGCCTTCAAGTTTAGCTATCAATATTCGATGAGGCACCCTGTCAAAAGCCTTAGAGAAATCGGTATATATAGCGTCAATTTGGAATCCCTTTTGAAAGGTTTCCAAACAGTCCTCTGTAAAAGCAGCTAAATTGGTTAACGTGGATCTGCCCGGCACGAACCCATGTTGGTTGGGACATAATAAATGTTTAACAGCAAAGTAAATTTTATCTTTAACTATGGACTCAAACAGTTTTGAGACAGTGGTAAGCTTAGAAAACGGCCTATAATTCTCAATATAATTTTTATTACCACTTTTAAGAATTGGCTTAATAAAAGTCAATTTCCAGTCATCGAGGAAAACTCCGGCAGATAGAGACATGATGAAAATGAGCCTCAAAGGCGCAATTAGTGAAGGACAACTTTTAAATAAAATAACCGAGAGGCCATCTACATCAGTGTTAGTGGATAGTTTAAGCTGGTTAATGCCATTAGCTACATCCTCGTCTGTCAACTTTATTTTCCCGAAGTTAATGGGAGTATCTAAATTTGACAAAAGATCTTCAGGAATAAAATCATTATCAGAATTACCTGAAATAAAGTTGGAAGAAAAAAAATCAGCAAAAAGATTAACAGCTTCGGAGATGGAGATGGAGTTGGCTGACACCCCGTTAAGCTGGACCGATGCAGGTATATTAGAGCAATTTTTCTTTGATTTAATATAACTCCAGAAGAACTTGGGATTAGATTTAATATTGCTTTCTTCGCCGCGAATATAATTCCTATACAAAGATTTATTGAGCCTCTTAAAGTCAGCTCTATAAAACGCGTAACGCTCACGCAAATTAACATCGTTGGAATGCTTTTGTCTTTTGTAGAACTTCTTCTTCTTATTCCTTATATGTTTGAGTTCTTTAGTAAACCATGGACGCTTAGCGGTTTTCGAATTAAGAATTGGGATATGACCCACACAAATATCACAAAGTTTAGACTTAAAAATATCGTAGCAACCAGTTATATACATCCACATTTCCAAGGAGCAGGGACCAATCCAAATCAAACAAATTATTCAATTCAGCAAAATTACAACAAGAGTAGTTAAAAGCAACCGTCTGACTAGCAGTCGGTAATTCAAAATATTGGTAAAATTCAAACTCCAAAACCATAGGGCTATGATGCTGATTTGGAGGGGAGATGTAACTGGCTGCATGAGAGAGCTTGAAATTTATATTAGAGCCAATAAATATTAAATCTAAAATTCGGTTTAACTCATTAAAAAAGCCATTGATTTGAAATAATTCAATACATAATAAATTATCAATTAAATATGATTCAGATAAAGTAGTAACATTTGATAGGGTGAGGAAAATATTGTTATCAATAAAGCTCCAAGAAATGTTACACCATGGTTAATACCATGATACAAAAAAAGAAGGTCGTTTCGGTTTGAAATTTTTTGACATAAACTGTGCTTATGACGTTTATACTTTTCGTAAATTGCTCAAGTAGCACTGCCTTCTCAATAAATTATCGTTTTGGAAACTTTTATATTTTTAAAGGAATTTTTTATGCATTAAAAAACAACAACACGCAAGCTAAATTTGCTTATTTCATCATATTTGCAGAGCTGTTAATAGATAAGTGTGTATTGGTTTAAAATTCCTTAAATGACCTAATCGCAAAAATTTGGCATTATTCGCAGTGTTACGTGAGATATTATTATATCTGGAAATTAAGATATTAGGACGTTGCTTTACTTTGGATCCTCTTTAGTTGCAATGGTGAATATGAAGAAGTGAAACTACCTTTAAATATTTTAATCATATTTGGTACAACAAAAAATACGAAACACGTTTTCCGTCATATAGCTTACGGATAAGAAGTAAAGCAACCTTCTAAAAATTATTGTATTGATTACAAGGTTAATTCATTCTTAATTCGTCGGCCATGATTTTTTCTGACGTTTGCAAGCATTTTAAAATCATATAAAATTGAAAATAAAAACAATTAAATTGTTCACAACTTTTGTTGTTTGAGATTGAAAATGAGAAGGTTTGTATGAGTTTGAGTTTTGAATATTTATGGCCTTATTCCATGATTCAATAAAATAAAGGTTTTGTAATAAAACAGTCTTCTCGCTCCCACACATAAAATCGGCTCCTTTACTTGTGCAGAATGTTGCTTACTCTATAGTTTCTAGTGGTATTAGTAGTAAAACAAATTCTTCATACTAAATATTCGTTGGCGTCACCTTCGTTTGCGTAATTTTCTTGAACAAGTGTAGAATAGCGACCGTTTAGCTATAAAATAACCAAAAATGCCGATTGATAGAACTTTTTACGCTGATTTCAACGATACCAAATTTATTCGGCGCAGGTAAAAAAAAAGAAGGTATAAGAGGTTTATTTGTATTTTTTATTATCACTAAATTGTTGACACCCAAAAGTAGATCATGATAAAATATGTAATATCGAATTAAAGATAATGACTTGTACTTTCTAAATAATATAAAATTCTTTACCATTAATTATGCAGGTTATTAAGGTTATTTCATGAAAAAATAATATTTGTTCGCTTTTTAGTGGTTTTGGTTTAAAAATACAAAAAGTTATAAATTATGTAAATCAGCTGAAGAACAAATTAATTAGCTTTATGGTGACGTCATTAGCTTTTTAATCGATTATAAAGTTCATAAGATATTAATATTTAAAGTATCTAAGAACTGAACTTTAACCTTCTAGAACCTCTTCATTTTTTAATTGCGCCAAATCATTTTGGCATGGTTGAAATTTGCATAAAAAGTTCTATTGATCTGCTTTTTTCGTTTTTGCATAGCTGAACGGTCGGTATTCTAGATTTGTTCCCGGAAATGACGAATAACTTAA